TACGTTTACTGGTGTGTTTGGGGTCGTTGTCTTGTTGGAACACCCATTTCAAGGGCATTTCCTCTTCAGCATAAGGCAGCATGACCTCTTCAAGTATTCTGATGGATTCAAACTGATCCATGATCCCTGGTATGCGATAAATAGGCCCAACACCGTAGTATGAGAAACATCCCCATATCATGATGCTTGCACCACCATTCTTCACTGTCTTCACAGTGTACTGTGGCTTGAATTCAGTGTTTGGGGGTCGTGTGACAAACTGTCTCCGCCCACTAGACCCAAAAAGAACAATCTTACTTTCATCAGTCCACAAAATGTGGCGCCATTTCTCTTTAGGCCGGTCAATGTGCTCTTTGGCAGATTGTAACCTCTTCAGCACGTCTTTTTTCCAACAGTGGGACTTTGCGAGGACTTCTTGCAGATAGCTTGGCTTCACATAGGCGTCTTCTAATTGTAACAGTCCTCACAGGGAACGTCACACCTTCTTTCATCTTCCTGGAGTTGATTGTTGGCTGAGTCCACGCCATTTTGGCTATTCTTCTATCCATTCCAATGGTAGTTTTTCGCTTTCTTCCACGTCTTTCAGGTTTTGGTTGCCATTTTAAAGCATTTGCCATCATTTTAGCTGAGCAGCCGATCATTTTCTGCACTTCTTTATATGTTTTCCCCTCTCCAATCAACCTTTTAATCAAGGTACACTGTTCTTCTGAAAAAATGTCTGGAACGACCCATTTTCCTCAGAATTTCAGAGAGAAATGCACTGTAACCAGCATGTACAACATTTGCTGCCTTCCTTCCTTAAATAAGGGCAATAATTGCCACCTGTTTTTCAAAGAATGAATGACCTCACTAATAGAACTCCACACTGCTATTATTTTGAACACGCCCCTTTCAATGAGTGATTCAATGACACAGAATCAGCAGCATGCATGTCATGACTGTTGGGTCTGTTGGATTTCTATGACTCTACTACACCTGCTAGGAAATTATTTGCCATGTAGAAATATCATTTCTACCAAAAACAGTGATTGATCCGGTTAGTGATGTCTGACTGCTATTATTTTGAACACAACTGTACATATGATGAAACAAGCATATACAAGTGGCACCAGTGATAACGTGCTAACAATGCAATAAAGTGACTTATTGGTGATATAATATGTCACTATATAGTGACCAATAGTGTATAAGGTGCCAGAAAATCATTTAATGATCCTCATATAGTCCAAAAATAAAGTGCACGGGAGATCGTGATGAGCTTCAGTAACTGGTGGTCTTATCCTGTGTGATGGTGATGTGGCCAAAAACGTAAAGACTGCACACTCACCAGATGCACAATCAGTGTGCTCATTTAGAGATAACACTCTCAGTAACCTGGAGGTCCCTTTAAGATGGAAGAGGTCTGGTCTGGTCTGATGTCCCTCACTGCTCAAAACTCCGCTGTCAGCACTGGCACAACCAGGGGCGGACTGACCATTTGGAAACTCGGGCACTGCCCGAGGGCCCGGGGTCAGTAGGGGGCCCCATGAGATGCCCCTGGTACCTTTTTTTTTCATAGGCTTTTTTGAGTTTGGGCAAGGACACAGGGGCCCCATGATCCCTTATTACCCCATAAGTTGTCAGTCAGCCCCTGGGCACAACTGCTCTGTGGGTGGTGAAAGCTGTGCAAAGTCTTCTCTCTGGATCTGGTAGGAATCCAAGAACATTTCTGGTGTAATTTATCTTCCATCCATTCAGCTCCTAAGATCAGACCTCCGGTCATACCAGGCCAGCCAATCAAAATAGCAGTTCAATTATCCAATCAGAAATAGTGGTTACAAATTCAAACCAGCAAATATTATCAAATATTAATGAAATAGGACCAACTGTCTGAAAAAAAAATGCAGCGTATGAAACTCTCAGTAACTCAGCAGAACATGACAAAAGATATGCAAATTGACCATGTGATCTCTCCATGCAACCAGATATTCGCAGTTGTCTATCTTGTTCTATATCGCCATCTAAACCATTGACTACAAGCTGAAATCCGCTTTGGGGTTATTCCAAAGAATCCCCCAGGAATTGAAATGAAGACACAAATTGCCTGCAGAAAAAAGAAAGTTATACGTTACCAATATAGATTCTATGATATCGGTGATGTCAGCTTTAGTTCAGCTCACTTTTGTGTGTGTGTCCATCTGTTCTTCCCTGTCTTTGTCTGTATCCGGAATGGACTCAGCACTGGTGGTGGGACTCACCTGCCGTGTGGGCTGCAGTACCAGGGCTGACCAGTGGGTGCTCTCAGCAGCCAGAAGCTCACTCCTGCAGTCAGCCAACACCTGGGGCTGATTGCAGGAGGTGTATTTAAGGAATGACCAGGCCTGTGATCAGGGCCTTGGTGTATGTTTCCTATGAGCCCCTGTACCTGGTATCCTGTGTTCCTGCCTAGTTGCTGACCCTGCTTTGATCCTGACCTCTGCTGACCGTCTCCTGTTGAACCCCTGGCTTGCCTGACCATCCTTCTGCCTGATCCTCTGTACCGCGCTGCCCGTGAGTTACTGAACCCGGCTTGTGACCCTGACTATTCTCTGCCTGCTCCTCCAGTACCTCACTGCCCACATGTTGCTGACCTGGCCTGCCTGACTACGCCTGACGCTACCCAGACAATCCATCCATCCCGCACGGATCCAGTCACTACTGTCCAAACCTGCCAGCCCCTTCACATCAGGCTTTCCCCTGGTACATACCCTCGGCGGACCCCTCTACCGCAGTTGGGTGCACTCAGGGGCCGCGACCTGGTCTCAGTCCTGCGCCAAGTCCATCCCCACCATCAGGGGCCCTGGTGAAAAGGCAGACTGGGGCTTAGACTCCGCGCCCTGGGGAATCCTGTTCTGTGGGTCACTAGAGATCCCGCCGGGGGGCGGTGCCTGACAGTACCTTATGGCCTGCCTGACCATTCCACCTCTCCAGCCCTGACTACGCCTGTGTTCCTGAAGCCTGCTACTTCCCTGTGTCAGTCCACACATTTCTGGTCATACCCGGATCCCTAACAGTCTGTCTCCCCTCGTTAAAACTATCTCCCAACTTTCATCCCTCACAAAACTTAGGCGGGCAAAGCTTATCTTGCCTAATTATGATGTCCATTTTCTTTACTAAATTATCCCAATTACCTAAAGGGGGCAATGTAGGAATAGGAATAATTTAGGATTTTTCCTAAAAACTCTTGTGCTATGTCAAGAGTTGACCTCTAACATTCATCTTATTAGAAGGCCATACATTTTAGATATAGTTGCTCATTTGACAGAACTGGTTAGATAAACTGGGACTAGTGCCACTTAAAAAAATTGTATTTCCTAAGTGATTATCAAAAAATGTCTATCTATACAGCTCACAGACATCCACTGAGGTCATTTGTACTGAGATTTCTTAATGATCTAAATTCTTCCATTTCAAATTGTAATATAATAAACTCAAAATAATGTTTTATAATGTTTAAAACATAATACCCAAAATATATACCAATATGTATCCATAATATATATCAATATGAATTTAATTGCTAAAACCAATTAATATAGATAAAATATACACTATATTGACAAAGGTATTGGGTCGCCGGCCTTTCCACGCACATGAACTTTAATGGCCTCCCAGTCTTAGTCCGTAGGGTTCAATATTGAGTTGGCCCCGCCCTTTGCAGCTATAACAGCTTCAACTCCTCTGGGAAGGCTATCCACAAGGTTTAGGAGGGTGTCTATGGGAAGGTTGGACCATTCTTCCAGAAGCACATTTGTCAGGTCAGGCACTGATGTCGGGGGAGGAGGCCTGGCTCGCAGTCTCCGCTCTAATTCATCCCAAAGGTGTTCTATGGGGTTGAGGTCAGAACTCTGTGCAGGCCAGTCAGGTTCCTCCACCCCAAACTGCTCCTCCATGTCTTTTATGGACCTTGCTTTGTGCACTGGTGGGCAGTCACGTTGGAACAGGAAGGGGCCATCCCCAAACTCTTCCCACAAAGTTGGGAGCATGAAATTTGTCCAAAACGCCTTGGTATGCTGACGCCTTAAGATTTCCCTTCACTGGAACGAAGGGGCCAAGCCCAACCCCTGAAAAACAACCCCATACCATGATCCCCCCTCCACCAAACTTTACACTTGGCACAATGCAGTCAGGCAAGTACCGTTCTCCTGGAAACCACCAAACCCAGACACATCCTTCGGATTGCCAGACAGAGAAACGTGATTGGTCACTCCAGAGAACCTGCCTCCACTGCTCTAGAGTCCAGTGGCGGCCTTCTTTGCACCACTGCACCCGATGCTTTGCATTGTACTTGGTGATGTAAGGTTGGATGCAGCTACTCGGCCATGGAAACCCATTCCATGAAGCTCTCTACACACTGTTGTTGGGCTCATCTGAAGGCCACACCAAGTTTGGAGGTCTTTAGCTATTGACTCTGCAGACAGTTTGTGACTTCTGTGCACTGTGCGCTTCAGCATGCGCTGACCTCGCTCTGTCATGTGACGTGGCCTACCACTTGGTGGCTGAGTTGCTGGTGTTCCCAGTTGCTTCCACTTTGTTATAATCCCACTAACAGTTGAGCGTGGAATATTTAGTAGCCAGGAAATGTCACGGATGGACTTATTGCACAGGTGGCCACCTATCACGGGACCACGCTTGGAGTCACTGAGCTCCTGAGAGCGACCCATTCTTTCACCAATGTTTGTAGAAGCCGTCTGCATGCCTAGGGGCTTGATTGTATACACCTGTGTCCATGGAGGGGATTGGAATACCTGAATCACATGATTTGGAGGGCGGGGCCAATACTTTTGGCAATAGTGTATATGGAGATTGAATATAATGTAATAATTTAAAAACCAAATTACTTAGTTAAGCAAGTATTCACCTCATGCAAAAATAATAATAATATAATTCAGATGTTGATGAAAAAAAAAAATCATGAACAGTTCTCTGTCCCTTGTTAAAGTGTTACTAAACCTGGAACCCTGCATTCACTATATCTGGTCTCCCCGGACCCTGCATTCACTATATCCGCTCTCCCCGGACCCTGCATTCACTATATCCGCTCTCCCCGGACCCTGCATTCACTATATCTAGTCTCCCCAGACCCTGCATCCACTAAATCCGGTCTCCCCAGACCCCGCATTCACTATATCTGGTCTCCCCGGGACCCAGCATTCACTATATCCGCTCTCCCCAGACCCAGCATTCACTATATCCGCTCTCCCCAGACCCAGCATTCACTATATCCGCTCTCCCCAGACCCAGCATTCACTATATCCGCTCTCCCCGGACCCTGCATTCACTATATCCGCTCTCCCCGGACCCTGCATTCACTATATCCGGTCTCCCTGGACCCAGCATTCACTATATCCGCTCTCCCCGGACCCTGCATTCACTATATCTGCTCTCCCCGGACCCTGCATTCACCATATCCGCTCTCCCCGGACCCCGCATTCACTATATCCGGTCTCCTTGGACCCCGCATTCACTATATCCGCTCTCCCCGGACCCTGCATTCACTATATCCGCTCTCCCCCCCGGACCCTGCATTCACTATATCCGGTCTCCCTGGACCCAGCATTCACTATATCTGCTCTCCCCAGACCCTGCATTCACTATATCTGCTCTCCCCGGACCCTGCATTCACCATATCCGCTCTCCCCGGACCCTGCATTCACCATATCCGCTCTCCCCGGACCCCGCATTCACTATATCCGCTCTCCCCGGACCCCGCATTCACTATATCCGGTCTCCTCAGACCCTGCATTCACTATATCCACTCTCCCCGGACCCTGCATTCACTATATCCGCTCTCCCAGGACCCTGCATTCACTATATCTGCTCTTCCAGGACCCTACATTCACTATATCCGCTCCCCAGACCCCGCATTCACTATACCGGTCTCCCACAGTACACAGAACATGGAAATGCAATTATTTTAGTAAATATAAACTGCTAATACCTTTTCTCATCAGCAGTATAGAGCAGTCTTGTAACTAGTCTTGTGACTACGACACTGCCGCCTGACTTTGTAACTCATTGCTAGCACAGTGCTGACTCCTGCCTGTCCCCAACCATGAAAATGATCATGATTCTGCACCTACTGTATCTGTCTGGCTGCTGCTGAACACACCTTGTGCCCTGACTCCATACTGCCATTGGGTGGATTCCAGCATTTCAAAGTTCACTACTCCAGCTTCCTGGTACCCTCACCCCTTCCATTGCACTAGCAGTCAATCTCTCCACTATCAGGATTGCTCGGATGGGAATTGTGCAAGAGGCCACCCTCGCCATGCTGAGCACAACTTGTGACCTGGCTCAATATGTCATTGGGGTGGATCCCTGCATTTTCCGCAAGCTGAAGTTCACTACTCCAGCTTCCTGGCACCCTCGCCCTTCCATTGCCCTAGCAGTCAGTCTCTCCACCAGGGTTGCTTGGATGGAATTGTGCAAGAGGCCACCCTCACCAAGCTGAGCACAACTTGTGACCTGACTCATTATAACATTGGGTGGATCCCTGCATTTCCAAGCTCAAGTTCACAACTCCAGCTTCCTGGCACCCTTGCTCTTCCATTGCCCTAGCAGTCAGTCTCTCCACTACAAGGGTTGCTTCAATGGGAATTGTGCAAGAGGCCACCCTCGTCATGCTGAACACAACTTATGACCTGACTCAATTTGCCATTGGGTGGATCCCTGCATTTCCAAGCTCAAGCTCACTACTCCAGCTTCCTGGCACCCTTGCCCTTCCATTGCCCTAGAAGTCAGTCTCTCAAATCACAACTTGTGACCTGACTCAATATGCCATTGGGTGGATCCCTGCATTTCCAAGCTCAAGTTCACTACTCCAGCTTCCTGGCTCCATGCCCTAGAAGTCAGTCTCTCCAATCACAACTTGTGACCTGACTTAATATGCCATTGGGTGGATCCCTGCATTTCCAAGCTCAAACTCACTACTCCAGCTTCCTGGCACCCTTGCCCTTCCATTGCCCTAGAAGTCAGTCTCTCCAATCACAACTTGTGACCTGACTCAATAATGCCATTGGGTGGATCCCTGCATTTCCAAGCTCAAGTTCACTACTCCAGCTTCCTGGCACCCTCCGCCCCTTCCATTGCCTAGCAGTCAGTCTCTCCACTACCAGGGTAGCTTAAATGGGAATTGTGCAAGAGACCGCCCTCGTCAAGCTGAACCTGACTTAATATGCCTTTGGGTGGATCCCTACATTTCCAAGCTCACGTTCACTATTTCAGCTTCCTGGCACCCTCGCCCCTTCCATTACCCTAGCAATCAGTCTCTCCACTACCAGGGTTGCATAGACAGGAATTGTGCAAGAGGCTGCCCTCGTAATCTCGGCTCCACAGTCAAGTATGTGACATGCACACCACCTGCTTTTATTTCCATTTTTAGTAAAGATTACCAAAACTGCTGAAATTTTAATATGTGAGCTCTGCGACAACATAAACCAGAACGTTTCCAAGATTGCTAGGAACGAGAGATGTGAGTTTGTATCAATTTATTTTAATGACCGCGGCAGTCTGAGCATTAACAGAAATTGGTCTCATTACACTGTGGGGGGGAAAAAAAACAGTTATCAAGTGTTAATGATTGGCATGTTTTATTACCGCCTCCATAAAGTTGCATGGTGGTAGCGGAACCTTAATATTGTAAAATAATAAATATTCATTAATTCCCAGTGAAGACTCCGGAGAAATAACAATCTAACTGAAGGTGACCCGGTATTGACACCATGTTTTTTCTAACTCGGCAGGTGCAATTTAAAATAATTATTATTTCCTAAGTGTTTCTAGTTGGTACTCTTGTTTTCACCAACTTTTAAGATGTGACTGAAACTTCTGGATTTTTTTTTAAAAAGATGCCAACAGTAAGCTTTTACCTAGAGCTGATACAGAGGAAGGCAAAACAAACCCTTTGGCCAGGTCCCCACTTTGACCACTTCAGCTCCTTAAGGTTTTACCCCCTTCATGAACAGGCCATTTTCTGCTATTCAGCTACTTTTACCTGGTAATTGTGCAGTCATACAACGCTGTACCCAATTAAAATGTGTATAATTGTTTTTAGAACTTTCTTTTGGTGGTATTTGATCACCACTGGGTTTTTTTATTTTTTTAATAAATAAATGAAAAAAGACGGAAATTCTGAAAAAAACAATATTTTTAACTTTCTGCTTTAAAACATTCCAAGAAAAAATTTTAAAAATCGAATTTCTTGTGTAATTTGATGACTACCTGGCTTGTTGGCTGTAGCCATAGCTTGTTTTTGTTGCTAATCTGTATGTTTTCTGAAAAATTACTAATAAATAGAATTTTACAAAAAAAAATCTAATTTCTTCATAAATTCAGGCCAAAATGTATTCTGCTACATGTCTTTGGTAAAAGAAAAAACAAAAAACAAATAAGTGTATATTGATTGGTTTGTGCGGAAGTTATAGCGCCCACAAACTATGGTACAGTATATATATACTGAAATTTTTTATTATTATTTTTTAATTTATTTATTTGTTTGTTTGTTTGTTTTATACTAGTAATAGTTGTGATGAGTGCCTTATAGTGGGGCTGTGATTCAGCATGCAGAGTGTGTGCGGCGGGCAATCTGACACTAACTGACCCTTGGTGGTAACTGAACTAACTGCCACTGACATCACCAGTGAGTTCCTAATACAGTGATCAGTGATAATACTATACATTGTCACTGTACTAATGACACTGACTAGGAAGGGGTTAACATCAAGGGGCAAATAAGGGGTTAACTGTTTGCCTAACAATGTGTAATGTGTGGTACTTTTTACTAAATCTGTTTGTTCCTTCTCCCTGCTTTGCAGGGATCATAAACAAACAGAACACTCCATCTGTATAGAACCCTGTGTTGTCTGTCAACACAGAGCCCTGGGCTATAAATGAATCCAAGCAGCAGGTCTCAGGCTGAAACCTGCTGACAAAATATCGCTGTGTCCAATCACAGCAGGAATCAGCTGGGGAAGCACCGGCTCCTCCTTTGCTCAGTTGGTGTCCCGGTTGTTGGGCAACAGGATGCAGCTTCCTAGCTCCACTCAGTTGTTATTGGCTGCAGCCTTGTACCTTCCACTCCAGTTACCTACTTGTGCTATGTTCAGGGATTCCTTCGCTGCCTGCTGCCTGGCCTGACCTTTTCTACTTTACTGTATTCCTCTACTACCTCCCCTGACCTTTGCTATATTATCAAATACCTCTACGGCCTACACTGACCTTTATTTAACTACATTACCAAATGCCTCTAATGCCCACTGTCTGCCCTGACCTTCCTGTGTTACTAGATACCTCTGTTGTCTGCTGCCTGCCCTGACCTTTTCTACATTACTGGATACCTTTTACTGCCTGCCCCGACTTTTGTTACATTACTGGATACCTCTACTGCCTTACATGACCTTTGCTACATTACTGGATACCTCTAAAGCTCGCCCTGGCCTTTGCTACATTACTGGATACCGCTAATGCCTGCCCTGACCTTTTGCTACATTACCGGATACGTTTACTGTCCACTGCTCTGACCCTTGCTATGTTACCATATAACTCTACTGTTTTCTGCCTGCCCTGGCCTTTGCTACATTACTAGATACCTCTACTGCCTGCCCTGACCTTTGTTATATTACCAGATACCTCTACTGCCTGCCATGACCTTTGCTACAGTACCAAATCACATACCTTTACTGCACGATGCTTACACTGACCTTTGTTATATTACCAGATACTTCTGCTGTTTGCTGCCTTCCATGACCTTTGGTACATTACTGGATACCTCTACTGCCTGCCATGACCTTTGGTACATTACTGGGTACCTCTACTGCCTGCCATAACCTTTGGTACATTACTGGGTACCTCTGCTGACTGCTGCCATGACCTTTGGTACATTACAGGATACCTCTACTGCCTGCCATGACCTTTGGTACATTACTGGGTACCTCTACTGCCTGTCATGACCTTTGGTACATTACTGGGTACCTCAGCTGACTGCCATGACCTTTGGTACATTACAGGATACCTCTACTGCCTGCCATGACCTTTGGTACATTACAGGATACCTCTACTGCCTGCCATGACCTTTGGTACATTACAGGATACCTCTACTGCCTGCCATGACCTTTGGTACATTACAGGATACCTCTACTGCCCACTGTCTGTTCTGACTTTGCTGTGTTATCATATAACTCTACTGTCTTCTGCCTTCCCTGAATTTTGCTACATTACTGGATACCTCTAGTGCCTGCCATGATCTTTGCTACATTACCAAAGCACATAGCTCTACTGCACGATGCTTGCACTGACCTTTGTTATTTACCAGATACCTCTGCTGTCTGCTGCCTGCCTTGACCTTGTTGCATTCTTGGATTCCTCTACTACCTGCCCTGACCTTTGCTACATTTTTGGATTTCTCTCCTGCCTGCTGCCCACCCTGATGTATGCTACATTACCGA